AGAGGAGTTGAGAGCCCAGAATAAGAATGAATTTACAAAGAGAGCACCAATCTACCCGAAATTACTCTTATTCCCTCCTTAACTCATGCAACACCTTATGGGCTAGAAGTTGGCACACGTTTTAGCCGTAGCATAAAATGTGGACATCGGGCCTGTCTCTTAACTCAGTTTATGCAGCCACGTAGGTATTCGGTTTGGCCAATTTACATATCAAATTGTAAATGTCAAATTTCGAGACTTACCTTTGATGGATTTAAACCAGTTTGTTTATTAAACTCTTCAACAAGGTTGCGCTCGATATATTTGATTTCTTGAAATTTCGCTTCTAGGATCACAGTTTGCGTTCGATTGTGTGGTGAGCACTTCCTTCGCCGCTCTGTGTAAAATGAAAGAGAGTTGTAATCAATTAAGAGGAGAATTCAAATCATTGTTGAAAACCAAATCTGTTATCGTTGTGGCTCTATCCCCATCACTAAGATTACCTCTTCACAAGCACACAACCGAAGTCTGGAAATCTCAAATCAGACATTACTGATATGGTAACCTGGGTGTATGCACGTAGAAGCTGCGTTATCCATGGCTTCCCACTACATGACCCTATCCTGGTGACCGCCTCCTCTAACAACTTGCACAGAGTGGTAATATTTGCTTTAACGAAATAGTCACATGGCTTACCATTTGCAGCAGAAGGACTTGAAGTCGCAATACTCTCCTCTGAACTTGGAGTCGGATTTGAAAACGGAATGCCAATCTCACTGTGGGGCGTAAATATTGCTTCATCACGATAAATACCCGTAGACGTGGGAATTTGGTTGGCGTGGCTCATTTGGTCAGTAGAAGAATGACCGGACAATAGGGCTGATAGCGTAAGAGGAGCACCTGCTGCAGTGTTTGTGGGCCTCATGCCTCCATTATCCTGGTTTGTTGAGCTCAGTGAGGAGATACCACCATAACCGGTTGCGTATATGATGTGGCTTCCAGATTGCATTGTTGAAGAAGTATTGAAGCCCTGCTTACAAAATCTACACTGACGGACTGATTGACCAACGTGTATCTATAGGCAATTATTCCGCCAATGAAATGCTACCTAACCTGTGATTATTCTTTGTTGTTTTGGCCTAACCGCAAATCTGCGAGCTCTTTTTAAGTGAATTTTGCTCATGATTTTCTCATCAACTCATTAAAAATTGACAAGTATTAAAATTTGTTCCCAATGACAATCCAAATGGGTGGTATTTAACGACTTGTCTGGGAAAGAGATTGAGAGAGTGACAAGAATGCGGAGATGGCGTTGGTTTTCTCCCTCCACCCTCTGCATTATTACCATCTTTGGTGCTGGCTTTGGCACTCCCTACCTACACTGTATTTACAAGGAGCAAGTTAAATAACCAACAGTAATAGTGGTCCCATATGGTGAGCGCGACTTAGTCAAGATGGTGATAGCAGGTGAGACTAGTGCACAAATCTGCTTCCTTCTAAAGACCGAAATTTCATCTGAAGACATAACTCAAGCTCACCTATCACTTGCGCTGTTCACTTCGTCTGCTATTATTTGGCATTTTTGATTCAAGGCATTGTCACCGAAATCTCGAAAGCATTGTTTACCAAAGTTCGAATGCCAGTAGAGAAGCCAATAACTCACCAGGAGCAATTTTCCTCGGTAAGAGTGGATGCGAAAGGGTTTCCCAGTTGAAAATATGTTGGCACTTATTGAGGATGATGGGATTGTAGGGGGTGAATTGGGGTGGGTTGGGGTGGGGTTAGGGTCGACAATTTCTCTTCAAACCTTTCCCGTTGTTATGGATATATTGGGTTTCTTGAAGTCCTCTAGTGGCAAGAATTGGTTGAGGAAATCATACTCCTTCAAGTGGATGCTCACAAGCAATGCTGCAAAGTACCTTCCCAAATGGCTGTGAACTTCACTAGCAAGTTGTGCACCACAGGTAAGTGTAGGTATGGGGTAGGGAGGTAGAAGGGAGTGGGGTGATTGGTGGTTGTATGTGAGTGACGCCTACCACGCGGACATTCAACCCCACATAATTGGTTAGGTTACCACAAACGTGCTATCTATTCTCGGTGTTGTTCCAACTATTGTTTACGTTTAGCACACTTTCTTGTTCTAAGTGGATAAAATGAATTCGCCCACTAATATTCCCCCGTTCATCTTGATTCCATTCCAAGAGGTATCTTCATTTTCTAAAATTTCTCGAATCCTTTTAGGAGTTGGCTCGAAAAGAAATAAGTTTTGGAAACAATCTAGGAATTCGTTAAATCTATAATTATTTAAAATTAATTAAAGTAAAACCATTGGATTACTACTTTACGAAGCTAATAACGTAATCTGCTGCAAATCTAAATGTCGAGGAATTGAATAAATCAATGTTTGATTAAGGTCTCCACTTCCAAATATTGATCGTGCTCATGGTAACACTTAATTAATTTGTTCAAAGTCATGGAATCACTGCAACTTGACCTTAGAGCTACTTAATTGTTACCTCTAATGTGATCCAATCAAGTAGATGAAATGTCAATTGATTGTGTCTATTTGGGAGGTAAAGTTTGTATTGCGTGCTGCATTTGAACAGGAGGTGGAGGGGGAGGGGGGGGGGGCATTTGGGAAAAAAGCCAGTTTAGAGCTCAAGACACAGTACAGAAAAGGTAAAAGAGTTTATGACTTTTAAAACTAAGGTTTAATCGCATGTTGAATTTGGATCTACCTCATTATTTATATTTTTTCTCACCTCCAACTAATAAAACAGAACCAAAACTTTATCTGGGGATTGACAAACTAAATGTTTCTGTTCGACTCACAGGTGTGACATAAAATTTTAAACAGCTCACTTTCAGTACAATATAAATGAATATGACATTTTGTTGGGGTTAAGACAAAATATCTAATTTTGCATATGATCAACTTGTGAATAGAGAGAAGACTGTTATCAAATAAACATAGATAAAAAAGTTGAAGTATATTATTTTCTCTCAATTCCTTAAATTTGTAATTTGAGTACAATAAATTGCGAATATTAATCCGATTGTGAAAACCAATATGAATGAGTAAATGCCACCGTGCTTCCTCAAAACTAAAATGTCATACATTTACCTTGATATGTCACCTTGAATAGAGTGAAAAGTAGCACTATTAATTATCATCAGGAAAGTATTTTTGTCAATTCAGTGAACGCATTCCATCACTAAAAGAATGGTCTTATATCATTTGAAGTAAGTAGCATTAAGACCTTTTCATTCAGCTTTATGAGCCATGCTAATATATTTTAATGGCTTCTATTTCCTGTAATATTTCGTGATAAATAAATTAACTATTTCGTTTATAGTTGATTCGGTCTGAACAAAAGCAACTTCATAAAGGAAAATTTGCATATTAAAATGAGATATTCAACATGTCTTTCGAGTCAATATGATCGATATTTGGAAAATGCATATTGACCACTGTTTGTCATTAACTTTAGCTATGTGAACACGAAAATATTAGTTTTTGAAAATTTAGTTTTACTTGTATGGAATATGAATGAGCTGTTAATTTTAACTAACCTTGGGATAAATTAATCAAACTAAAACATTATTGTGTGCCAATCAGTTTACTCTTCTGAAGGTCACTTACATTCCGCGCGTTTTTACATTAGTATTTGCGGATTCTAAACGGATTGGATATGAATGCTGAATTTTAATTTATATCAAGAAGTTAACATTGTTGAATCCATATCAACAAGTTATTCTACGTAATAAACACACAAAATCTGTGGTCGGATAATGCGTCACGAGTGTTTACAATATTTTCCGATTCTATTTATTTTGTTTCTCTATGAATAATGTACCATTTTCATTTCCTTTATCATCATATACGGCAAGTATTCTTCCTGATATCGGCCCGAATAACTATATCTTAACAAATGAGCCCCGGTTTGGTGTTCCTGAACCATTTAACGGTAGACCTTCGGGAACAGCATCATTTGCGATCCTCGGTAACCTTGAATGTCGAGAATCGTTCTCAACGGAAACCTTAAAGCATGACGGATTCTATTTTCTCCGACTGCGCACTACTCACAATGCCGTTTTAATTCCGAGAAGCAGTCGACATGTTCCTTTGACATTCAGGCTGTATTTCAGTCAGAACAGATCAGTTATAGACCTCCAATTACTCTCACTAATAAAACGCGAATCACTAGACTCATAGACCGAAATGAT